CCACTGGCTGTGCGGCCGGCCTCCCTCCCCTCCACTCGCCCTCACACACACCACTGGCTGTGCGGCCGGCCTCCCTCCCCTCCACTCGCCCTCACACACCCTGGGCCGTCGGCCTGCATCCTAGTTTGTGTTTACTTTACCGGTCCTCAACAGCCGTGGCACCAAGCAGAATCAGATCTTTCTCTATTTGCTCATAGGCTTCTGCTAACTTTTTCTCTCGATCTTGAAGGGCCACTTTGGCAGCCTGCAGCAGTTTACAAATGCCTTCATATTCTTCTTGGATCAGCCTCTTGTAAGCAACACACAAAGTTCGGAGCCCCTCCTGCAGAATACAACGCAGTGTTTAGCATAAATTCAAGGTGTCACTTGCTGAAATATTACACTCCATGGCCTTCCCAGTATCCCTTCTCTCATTAGAATAACTAACCCAGGAATTGTAACCCTTTCAAAACTTACAGTACTAAGTAAACAAAGAAAGATTACAACTCAACCAACTCTCGAAAGGAGTAAGTCATCAACAAGTGAATTATTTAAGTCCACATTAAATATAAAGAATCATTATGGATCACAGCATATGGATCACAGACTAGAAAGCCTGGAAATCAGTAACAGAAATCAGGGTCATCTACCAAAAGATAAACTTCATTCCTTTACTTTGACAAATGCAGAGTTAAACTGAACCTTTTTTTAAGGATAATCATTTGTAATTTTACGGGCAATATCAAGTGGTATTTCTAAAGTAACCATGTTTTATGCAGGAAGTTTGTAAGGTGGCTGTTCTTTCACAATGAAGGAAACCTGCCAGGTTATTTATTAAAATCATTGGTTGCACGGGAACATAAGAAATTAAGAATCACAAATTCTTTACTGTGATCACGATTCTGGATGTCACCACACAGAGAGGATGCAGCCACCACCAGCAAGACACAAGGAAGGGGGGCAGAGGCTGAAACGGCCACAAGCGGGCGGTTCACAGATGAACCTCTTCATTCCGTCAGTCAAGGCTGCTGAGGGCGACCGTCACAGAGGTTTACCGATGATCTAGGGTGTTTCCCTTCCCTTTTCCCTGCTCCTTCAGCCCCTGATGACAGTAAAAGAACCATAATCCTCCCAAATAACCATTTTAAAATCTGGGAGAATGCTGGTTTTTAAGAGTTTAATCAATGTTTTCCATTATATGAGATGAAGCGTCCCCTAACTCTCAGGGAAGGCTCGTATTTATCACCAGTTCCAGACCTCTTAATTCGTGTGAAGGACAGAATTGCCACTGGGTCAATGGCTCTCATGGGCCTTGAGCTCTCAAAAGCCAGAAGGGGAAAGGGGGAGTTGAAGAAGTGAGAACACAAGACAGGGTCTATGTGTGCCTGAGTCCTGTTCACTAGGAACACTCTTGAACTCTTTCCTTCCCATCCTCCAGATATTGTCTCCTGGTCAAGAATAAGTGAGAAGCCAGTGGACCTGTCTCAGAGGAAAGCAGCACTGAATAAACACTGCTCAGCCGCCCCAGCCTCACCTCCTGCTGAGCACACGACCTTGCAGCTTTCTGCTCATGGGTTTGCCTCTACTGTTAGGCGCTGGGTTCTCTGGCTGTGGGCGCTGTGTCTGACTTCATCACTGAATCCCTAGCACACAGCCCAAACCCAACAGCTTTTGCTGAATAAATAAGTGGTTGAAATTAGACCTTTTATGCACCTGGTGATCAAGGTACAGATTGGAGACATAAATGCAATTGCAGAACGAATTCTCTGACTTTTCCTAAGAGGCAATAAAACATACAAGATATACAGCTTCAGTCTGAAACCGGAAAAACTGCATACAAGAAAATGGTTTTATAGGATAATAACTCAGAGTGGCCCCAGAACTTAGGTTGCTGTGAGTGGTAAGCAGAAGCTTTTGGAAATAAATGTTTCTGCTTTTAAAAGTCAATCAGGGACTTTCTCTTGTGGTAACACAGAACAGAAATACTTTTCTCTATTTCTCCTGCTAAGTGCTACAAAAACCCTGGACACAGCACATAAAAGAAAGCCAGATAAATACACTACTAGAAAACTGCAGAACAATATCCCTTAGAAATATAGATGCAAATATCCTCAACAAAATACTAGCAAACTGAATCCAATGGCACATTGAAAGGATCCTACACTACAACCAAGTGGGGTTTATTCCAGGAACGCAAAAGTGAGTCAGGATATGAAAGTCAATGCAATATATGACATTAATAGAATGAAAGGGAAAATCCCACATGATCATCTCAACTGATGCAGAAAAGGCATCTGAAAAAAATCCAGCCCCTTTTGGTGATAAAATCACTTAATAAACTGGGTAGAGAAGAAACCTCCTCAACGTGGTAAAAACCACTTAAGTGAAAA